AAAAAATACCTAGGTAACTTAGTTATAAAATCAAAAATGATAGCTAGGTACAATAGAAAAATACGAAATAGCTATTGTAGCAGCGATATTTTTCTAGACTTTGCTACCGCAAATTCATTAATTACATCGCTAAAATTTATACCATCAAAAATTTATTGTTCAATTGCTAATATCGCTAGCCCAGACAATTTTTCTTGAAGCATTGTCGATCTTAAATAATTTTTTAACTTTGAAAAAGATCGCTCGCTAGAAGCTACAGATACAGGTAATGTCAAAGAATTCTTAGTGAAATGCTGACGTTAGGAAAGATGGAGATTAAATTGTTTCTAAATATATGTATATTGTAAAATATTTAAGGGGTCAGTATCATCACGTAATGAAAACAACTTTTACGCTTTAATTTCATTAAACAAATCATTGGAGTCTATATCCCTATTACCCTGATCTGTCAGTCGTTTTTTAAGAACAAAAAAATGTTTTAAAATATCGCTGTCACCTAATTTGAATATGTCGCTAAAAATCCGAAAATATTATCATACTCATTTAATAAGTTTTAAGAGAGCTTAAAGAAATTAATCTATAATTTTTAAAAAAAAATTAATTTTAAAGGCAGTTTTTGGATCATGTGGGGTCTCATCTCGGTGTTCATAGTCAAACAGTTTTAGTTTAAACTTCCTTCTGACCGTTGGTAACGGTGGAAGGTCTTCTTCAATTTCGAGAGAGAGTGCTAATTCTTTCGCTTGTACAATAATTTCTTCAAACGATTGGTCAGATCTATATTGCTGGAAGTGATCAACTAAATTTTTTAGGTAGGTTTGACATACTTTAATATTAATTGTAGCATTTTGCATTTGTTTGCTGACAATATTTATGTGAAATAAAACGTCGTGTCAAATAATAATTCCACAAATAAATTGAAATTTTCGTACAGACGTTCAGAGTGAACTCGCTTTATGTCTTGCATCAATGTCAAAGGAATTATCTTCAGCTACATCTTCGAAGACTTTCGCAAACCTTAATTAAATAAAGTTTAAGGGGCTTTATTGAATCAATTCTGCTGGACCATCTTGTCTCACTTAGAGGCTTTAAACTTAACCCAGGGACATTTTTTATCAGAATATCCCTCCTTTTTGTGGATGACGAAAAAAATTTATATAACTCTTGCACAAGATTAAAAAAGTTTATTGTAGCATCTGACACCTTAGAAGCGTCACTTAATGTTAAGGACGCCTTTACAAAAGTGATAGGTATAGAATCGCACTACTATATTGTCAAAAGTCACACACACAAGTGTACGCACGGTTGGCTCTGGGAATCGTAGTCAAATGAAATTATTTTGATAATTTGAAAGATTGAATTTGTTTTTCATTTCTTATACCTCAGAAATATACTTAGATACGAAATACGACTACCTGCTCCAGAGACTGCTTGGCACTGGAAGCCATCTACTGGTAGTGAGATGTTAGCTCTGGACTTTGAACTGGTTTTGTCAGTTATAATAAGACCTTACCTACCTGCGGACTTGATGGAGTGACCTGAAGGTGTAATTCGGTGATTACAAGTGGAACTCCTAGACTAGTAGAACTAGGTGTGCCGAGTTTGGGTTCGTTTTGTTGGTTATGATGAGACCTTACCACCGGATTTGATGGAGTGACCTGAAGGTGTAATTCGGTGATTACAACTGGAGCTCCTAGACTAGTAGAACTAGGTGTGCCGAGTTTGGGTTCGTTTTGTTAGTTATGATGAGACCTTACCACCGGACTTGATGGAGTGACCTGAAGGTGTAATTCGGTGATTACAAGTGGAACTCCTAGACTAGTAGAACTAGGTGTGCCGAGTTTGGGTTCGTTTTGTTAGTTATGATAAAACCTTACCACCGGACTTGATGGACTGACCTGAAGGTGTATTCCGGTAACTACCACTGCTGCTTTTTTCTGGACGAATAGAACAAGTTGTGCCGAATTTAGGCTCCGCTTTGTTGGTTATGACGAGTCCTTACCTCCGGACTTGATGGAGTGACCTAAAGGTTTAATTGAGTGATAACTACTGGAACTGCTAGACTAGTAAAACTAGGTGTGCCGAGTTTGGGTCCATTTTGGTAGTTATGATGAGACTTTACCACCGGACTTGATGGAGTAACCCGAAGGTATAATTCGGTGATTACAACAGTAATAGGTGTGCCGAGTTTGGGTTCGTTTTGTTAGTTATGATAAGACATTAACACCGGTCTCATCTCAACTATCAAAACGAACCCAAACTAGGCACACCTAGTTCTACTAGATTAGGAGTTCCAGTAGTAATCACCTAATTAAACCTTCAGGTCATTCCATAAAGACCGGAGGTAAGGACTCATCATAACTAACAAAACGGAGCTCAAATTCGGCACACCCAGTTCTACTCGAGCAGGAATTCCAGCAGTAGTTACCGAAATACACCTTCAGGTCACTCGATCAAGTCCGGTGGTAAGGTCTTATCGTAACTAACAAAACGAACCCAAACTCGGCACACCTAGTTCTACTAGTCTAGGAGTTCCAATTGTAATCACCTAATTACACCTTTAGGTCACTCCATCAAGTCCGGTGGTAAGGTTTCATCGTAACTAACAAAACGAACCCAAACTCGGCGCACCTAGTTCTACTAGTCCAGGAGTTCCAGTTGTAATCACTGAATTGCACCTTCTGTTCACTTCATCAAGTCCGGTGGTAAGGTTGCATCATAAATAACGAAATGAACCCAAACTCGTCACACCTAGTTCGACTGGTCTAGGAGTTCCAGTTGTAACCACCTGATTACACCTTCAGGTCACTCCATCAAGTCCGTAGGTAGGTAAGGTAAATAAGCCCAAACTCGGCACACCAAGTTTTACTCTGCAAGAAGTTCAAATAGCGGTCACGAAAGTACACCTTCAGGTCACATAATCAAGTCCGCAGGTAAGATGAGATCATAACCAACAAAACGAGCCCAAACTCGGCACACCTATTTCCGCTCGTCCAGGAGTTGCAGTAGTAGTTACCTTCAGGTCACTCTATCAAGTACAGAGGTAAGTTTATATATCCTACTTATTTTTAGCTAAATAAAAAAAATTTTTATTATTTATCACTTGTCAAGTACTTATGTTTCCAATTTTTTTTTTCTAATATTTTATGTATGTACAGCAATCTTTTCAGAATGAGCCGCTGCAAACAGGCGATACAGTGTCCACTCACGACGGCGGCCGAGCGCGGACTGTGGTAATGTGGTTTCATCGAAATCTGTACAATAAATCAAAGCAGGCACCAACACTAAAATAGCCCTTATTGCAATAGATTATGATTCATCCGTATTAGCAAAATATGTGAAAAAATGTGCATCAGTTTTTATTTTTTCTACGACAATTTGCGACATTTTGATAAAAAATAAACACATGGTTTTTTTAATTGAATATGTCTGTCATCTTATAGTATTTTTTAATTTTTTTAAATATGTTGATAATATACCAAAACATGTACCGAAACTCAAGCCCGTATCGTTAATTTTGTAGAAAATGGCAACGAAAGTTCGTTTTTACATTATAAAAAACTACTATTTTCAACAAAAGAGTTACTACATACGTTTGCAGATGAAGAACCAATATATACATGGTAGTTTTTACTTATATTTGATTTGGTTTAGTTTTGTCACAAAATCTACCGAAAACACCCTAATTTTGGTTGATTTGCAAACGCGTCCTTAAGTTCAAAGTATGAACCGCACAAGGTACAAAAAAGACTCTCGGATTCGCGTCAAGAATGCGTTTTCGAAGTTAACATGCTGTCCCTTCATGTTTGCCCCATTATCAAAACGGTGTCCCCTAATCCCCTAAGTCTCTAAGTCCCTTTTTATATCTAAATTTAATTTTTTTTAAATTTCTGTCACAAATGTATATATCCCTTTCCCTGTGCAGTCCAGTATTGTATTAAACGCAATAAAACTTTCCTTAACTTAAACCTTTTTTGAAGTTGTGTGAAGGACAATATACCTTAGAACAAGACTAATTTGCTCAGTATGACTGGTGTCTGATGTACAATCTAATATTATTGGAAAATATCTCGAACTGCGAACCATTTCTAAAATATTATTTCTTACTTTAGACGACAATAATTCAATTATTTCATTTTGTATTTGCACGCTTAAATAATAAGTAATTTTAACACATTTTGTTTGGGAGTTACACACTCGGCTAACGTGCTGTCTCATTACTGAATCAAAAAAGGCAATCATCTCAACAGCTTTTAGAAAATTTCCATTATCATGTTCGAAAAGTAATTTCAAAGAACCTTGAAATGCCAAGCATTGTGTAGATAAACACTTAACAATCGAAATAATTCTTTCCAACACATCGCGCCAATATTTTTTCCGTTTCTAAAATCCGCAGGTGATGAGCATTAACAGTCGTAGATGTCTCCAACATTTTTTTTTAAATTTACCCAAGTGTTCATATAACTATTGTGTAAAATTGACGTTTCGTGTCTCTTTATTAGCAAAGACAAGTGTTGCCAATCAGATACTCCATTTCTATCACAAAAAGTGTTAAGAGTTTTACAAAACAACTTACAACAAAAACAAAATATAGTATCTTTAGAAATAGAGTACATAAGCTGTCCTTTCGACTTCTTACAAAGTATTTGCACTAAAACTTTCCCTTATCTTTATTACTAGGAAAGCTAAAACTGATGTCTATCAAGGGCGGACCACGTTTAACCAATATTCTATCTCATTGGTGATTATTTCGGGCCACAAACCGGGGTCGGATGGAATTATATCGACGCTAGCCTTCATCAAAAGTGTCACTTGCAGCGGGTATTTCGGTAGCTGACAGTACCGAGCTTCTTACACAAGCTGAATTACCTGAAGTGGATTGTTCAAGTGCTGTAGACGAGGATGGTGTCATCGCTTCATCGGGCTCTGCATCAGTAGAAGCTGTTTTGCTGCTACAACTGCCGCCACTTGTTGCAGGATGATGTGACCGTAGTCGCCTCTGTTCAAATTTCAGATGGTCCACTCACGGTTACTGATATTACGGATTTAGAATCTTGAGATTCGGTCGCATCGATAGTCTCTGTGGAATCTTCATTGTTTTGCAAGAAGTGCTTTAAAGATCTAGCCATTTTTTTCCTTTCTTGTAGTCTCAGTTTCTTTTGCTCGCGAAACTTCGCACCCGAAGGTCTCTTTCTTTTGTCCTGAAAAAACAAATAAATAATTAGGACTTATGGAAATTAGGATTTAACTTCTAAAGTAATCACAATAATAAGCACCAAGTTGGCATATTGCATATTTAATTAAAAAGCTATTTGTTCGAGCCCTTTCAACTTAAACCCTTTCAAAAATAAAGGCAAAAAAAGTATTAAACTAATTTGATCTTATAGCCCTTAAAAACCCACAAAATGGTTTTTTAAAAAGATCGATAGCATAAAAACTAAGCGAGTTATGAATAAAAAACCAATTACTTTTTTAAACTCGTACAGGGTTTTTGACTATATTTACGTGCTACCTAGGGCCTTTATTATGTCAGATAGAATAAAAATGTTTTATGCAGAAGTTATAGGTTTTTTTCTATATTATCTATTGAAGTTATCAGATAAAAACAGGAATCAGATAGGAATCCTGTAAAGGGTTAATGTTGATAGTATAAAGTAAAGTAGGGAACACTTACCATTTTATAAAAAAATCAAACCGTTGAAATTGCAGTCAGCAGGTATTCAAAACTTAATTTTTCAGAAAAAAAAGTAGTAAACAAAATATTATACAACAGAACACTTGACAAAATAAAAATAATTTTAAATGTAAAAATTAATAGGATTACTTGTTTTTATGCACCTTGTTGCACGGTTCAGTGAACTAACCGGTTTAAAAACGCCTCTGGCGATGCATCGCTTTTATAGCGCTCCTGTCTGAACAGGAAAAATCAAGAACTACCGCCTGACATGTTCTCGCAACATAGGAATTGGCAGTAACTGGATGATATACTAATAAAATTTCGTGTGTATTTATCCCTAATCCTATTTAATTTGTCAACCATCATTTTAAAATTATTTTTTTTTTTTGGAAATTTTCGCAATTTTTGACCCTAGGTTTTGGCGCCCCTAAAGGATGGCCCCCGTGTGCATTGCACACTTTGCGCATATGGTAGCGGAGGCCCTGGCTATGCTTATGTATACGTATACATAAGCAAGCAATGCTTATATATACTTTTAAGGGTGACACAGACATGACTTTAAATCGCTATGTTTTTGGTATTTAAAGAATCTTTACACCGTCCTAAATGGATTCATTAATTACAGCCAATCACGGCTGATCGTTGGCCGTCCCATAGATTTTCCTATAGGAGAATATTTGCCATAACGTGGTAAGCTTGGCAGGTAGGTTAGCAACTGCAGTTTTTTACTAATTTTGCGTGTGCGATCAGTAAGATCACCCTACTAAATGAAGTGACGACTTAGGAATCGTTGTATGCAGTTTGTAAGTAAACCTTCACCAACGAGTAATGCGTTATAAATTAAAAGATATTTCATTTTATTTTATATCTCAGTTTTAAGCATTGAGAGATTAAGCAAAGAGTCAGAAGTCTTCTATATATATATATATATATATATATATATATATATATATATATATATATATATATATATAAATTTCCATAGCTGTCCGTTAATCTCGCTAAAACTCGGAACTGGCTCGACCGATTTGTGACGAATTTTTTTGTGTGTGTTTAAATGGGTCCCTGGATGTTTTAGATTCACAATTAGAGTCGGTAGGTGAAGCTGTTGTTGGGATCGAGTAATCAACGGAGCGAAGGCGAGTTTAAGCCGAAGTTATATATAAATTATTTTAATTGTTCGATATACCCACAAAATTTCATTGTGATTAATATTATACATACATCCCTACCTTATTGAGTTTTTCTGTCAAGAAATTCTCAGTAGCTGCCTGGAGTCAGGAACTTGACGGTGTCTCACCCTCGTGCCTCAGAAAGCACGTAAAGCCGTTGGTGGATCTCTCTACCGGTCGTGTCGGTTTACCGTCCCACCAAATTATCAGAGTGAGGGAATAGAGAGTGCACCTGTGCTTGTGCATACACTTGGGCACTATAATCCGCCGTGGCCAAAATTCGGTCTAGAGGACATTACATTATTACATCCCTACCTCAATTATTCAGTTATAGCCCATTAAAATCAACTGCTGAATATACGCCTCCCCCATAGATTGTCTCATAGAGATATTTGTATAGTTGCCATGCTTACCTAGCAAGCGGGTTCGCAACCGCAGTTTTTTTATTTTTTAGTCGTTATTAAGAAAATGTTGCTGTCCATCTCCTGATTTGTTTCCCTCTGGTGCCTCTTACGACACCCACGGGATGATAGTATGTAATAAATGATCCAGTTGATAGTGCTGTGTCCTACGTCCTAGTCCTAGTCAGTACTCCGGACGTCCTTCAGCTTGCCAAGCCAAGCGTAACAATTGAGGCAAATCCCCCCTGCAACAGAGAAGGCCCTTGTTCAGCTGTGGACGGCCGTAGGGGATTTCTTACACGGCCACCACACGGTACCTTAATCATAAAATACAATATATAAATTAAAATAATGTTTCTTTACTGTAAACTTATTAAGACAAGTAGTTTAATGAAAAGTATAGGTTAATGATACCTGGCTAACAAAGCAGTTGTAAATTAACTGAGAAGGTTAAAACAGCTGGTGTGTCAAGGCTAACGGCTCGATTATAAACGAATAGATATGAACGTTAATCTGTACGCAAACACAACATGACAAATGTAGTAATTAAATTTATAAATAAGCAATCTGCAGTTTTTACTTCATTTTACATCGACAGCTATCTTAAAGTCAAATGTTACACATTCTAAGACTTTGCCCTACTTGGAAAATTTGCTAGTATTTACCACTCTGCGTATGCAGGTTGGTCAGTGCAGAGTCGTTTTTTTATAGGATAGGGTGACAAACAAGCACACAATCCACATGATAGTAAGTGATTGCTGTGGCCCATAGACATCTACATCTATCCACGATTACAAATCAAAATGCAGATGTGTTGTACCCCGTGAGGACTAAGATGGAATGTCTCGCTACTATCTACGATATATACTAGATATATTCATTCATATTCATTTATTGTTAAAATATAAGCTTACAGTATATAAAACCAAATCGCTTATATCTATACTAAACTTACAAAATAAAATAAAATACACAAGAAAAAGAATCACCAATAATTAAGTATTAGCATACACAATATAAATTACAGCCACAACAGTATAATGAGATACGCGGATGATGTTGCTTATGCCAGCGACAACGGGGTCGTCAAAGTCGAAGATCTAAAACGTCTGATGTCGAATTCTAAGAGCCCGGGGACGGGAAAATAACGTGATGCGCGAGACGATTCGAGACGTTCCAGATCTTTCATTTTTGTAAGTCAACAGGAAATGCCCATCAGACTAAACAACTTTTGCTAAGACGTCATTCCTATATATGTTACAATGTCGCTGGGCTTTGGAGTTCCACAACAGGTTTTCCAGATCTTCAAATTTATTCTCACAGCAGAAAAAACTCTTCACGTGGAATATTTTTTGCTATGACACCATTTTTATATCTCTTATACTTTAGCTGGTCTGTTGCGGCTCTGCATCAGGTGTTCCATTTCCCAAAATGAATTATAGCCTATATGTTACCTAGACTTAACACCTATACAACAAAAAACTTTTCATCCCGTACATTTTACCAATCTGGGGCGGAATGCACCGGATCCCAGGAGTACACTGAATTAACAATAATATTGCAAATCACTTAAAAAAATTCTTTATAAACTATAGCTGTACCCTTGGCTTTGCCCACGTTCTCGGTCACGCGCAAGTCGTATCTCACGCTCCTGACTGCTATCAAGTGATCGAGTAGTCTCAGAGCGGATATTCTGAAAACTCAACCTCTGATCCCTCTGTGTAACCGTTTCGGATGCGAGAGACAAAAAATGACGATCCCTGTTGATAGCTAAAAGCATTTCTCGTTGTTCCACACTTTCCTGAGATCGAGAAGCAGTAGTGTGGACTCGTTTAAATTCTAGTCGTAATTGGAGCTGCGTGCTAGTTTCTACGGACAAACTTAGTGCATTACGCTCACGGTTAGTACCTAGCCGTTGTTCACGCTCTGAGTGGGTTCGAGAGAAACTACTGCTACTACTAAATAACCTGCGCATCTTAGAAACCCTTGAGTTTCGAGACAGTATTGATCTTTTTCTAAAAGGCATAGCTAAAATTCCTTCTTATTCCCGATACCAACGATATTCAAAACAATGAAAAGTAATCGAATAAGTACGTAAGAATTGCTAATAAGTAGAAAAATAATAATTATTCGCAGGAAAATTAAACACATCAACCAACACAGACAACAAAGGTAATCCCCGTTTCTATAGGATGAGAGCGGCCCATCGGCACCTATAACATCACTTTTTGTAAACGAAACCATAGCGTGATCTAACTCAAGGCCAACGCCATCTAGTTAGTAAACGGAAACTACATATTATTTACCCAAATGAATTAATTAAATTATGAATTAAAACTAAATTGTCGTTAATTTAATAGACAAGTACATTATTTTTGCATTAAAAAATATGGTAACAGCAGCAAGGAACAATACTAAGAATTACATACTTAAATCAATTACCTGCAACAAACGTGCTTGTTAAGATATAACTTAGAATCAAAAGTTTGACTTGACTTCATGACAGTGTAACTTGTTGTACCACCAATCAATCTGTTTAGTAATATTAGTGTGAAACTCTCCACACAATTAGATAGGACATGTAAAGTTCTCAGATTTCCTAATGCACATAAAAAGTGCAAAAATTAAAATAAAATTACGATTTTTCAAAACAATATTATGGGATTTAAACTTCCACCATTTAATGCGGTAAACGGTCGCCAGACCTTACCGCTAAATTCCCCGTTGACATATTGTTAAACAGCTGTTCCCTTGCAATTTATAATATTACTGCCCCGCTCCTTTATTAAAATAGCGTGGTTATTATGTTCCCAAAGTTAAATTTTATTTTTATTTTAACTAATAACATGCCATTTTGTGCATTCAATTATTTTGTGTATTCAATTATGAAGAAAAACTTTTTAAAATCAATACTACTTACCTCCTATAACATACGGCATGATAATATGTAG